TGAGAGACGTGTTGATCTGTTTACCGGTCTGCGTGTACACGCTTGTATCTCAAATTCGGCTGAACCGATTTTGATGAAATCCAATTTGGTAAGTTTATCTTGACTATGTCACAAATTGATCAGCTTTTGGAATATATTAGGTATCGGAAAGTGGACCTTCTTGTGGGACGATTTTATATTTTTGTGGATATAGGAAAAAATAATCAACCAATTTTCTTGAAATTTAGTATCCCAATGATTCGGGTTGTTAAAACAATTAATCTATAAATTTTTTGGAAAGATCAGAGCTCTGAAACCGAAATTATTAACTAAGTTTTCATTTGCGCAACTAATTGACGGAATGTCTTGAAATTTAATATTTGAGTTCAGGTTGTTACCGAGAGTAATTGGCGAAATGTTTAAGGAATTCGAATGGTATAATACGAAATTCTACTAATAGTCAAATTTTCATTTTCCGAGGAGTCATAACTAAAAGCTCACTAACGTATTTAAAATTGGAAAGAAATGTTTAAAAGGCTGAATTTTTATAATCTCTTATAACACTTTCACTAAGCTAAGCAATAGACATTCTAAGCTAGACAACAGGCGACCGGTTATGGTCTTACGAAAAGCGAATTTTTGCTTAGTGACCTGACCCACGTAACCTGAACCTAAATTTTGACTATGAATATGTTAACAAAGAATTTCTTCTTTGCTTTATTTGCAAAATCATCTTTTTGTAACTATAAAGTTTGTTATTCTTTGCACCACAAACTTGTTGATTATAAATATTTTCAAGTTATTTCTTTTTTTTTTCCAAATCTATTTGTGTTGCGAATTTGAGCGTTTTATGTTGAACCCTTTAAAAATTTTACAAACAAATAATTAAATAAACAGACAATAAACTGGACAAAATCTTTTTTAAAGCAGAATTTTTTTAAACTTTTCTTGGAAATACGTGTAATATATTTAAAAAAAAAATAGTTCTTCATCAGTTAATTATTCACTTTTAAAATATACTTAATTATTTTTAATTGAGTTCTTTCTTGTCTATTAAATTATGTACAATGTTAGGTGAAGCGTTAAACTTTTACTTTTAATATAAAACTATTATGTGTAAAATCTCATTTTACCAATGTGTAATTCGTTTAAACAAAAATAACATTATTATGCATGGTTATATCTATAATATTGTATAAGTAAGTACTCGTATTTGTATAACATAATTAAATGCTTTATTAATTTTAATTATGTATTTTCGGCATTTATTACACTTTTCTAGTATAGACAGAATAAATTAATCACTGTTAATAAAATGTTAGTCGAACGGGTAAAAACTTAGAAACGGAGATGTATATGCAATTTTAATAAATGAATTTTAAACAAGATTTCTTCCAATTCAGATGAAGTTACGCGTGATGACTGATTTCTATTAATTAAAATTAAAATTATTACACTATGATTAATTATCATAACAAGAATAATTTATGAAAATGAAATTAAATAATTTTTTTATTGAAAATTTTTCCACTTTGGTAATTCAATAAATTTTATTAAAGTAAGAAAATTTTTTCATATTATTTGTAAAAATAAATACCCGAATTGATTTTCACTTAAAAAATTTTTAAGTATATCGTGTTGACTAAACATTTATTTTGTACTTACAATTTAAGAAGACTTGGAGTAACATTAATTATAAAACAATGTATCGAATGGAAATGATTGTGTTAAACTTTGATATGGGGACTGACATGAAAGGAAAATTGAAATTTTAATTTCAGTTTTAATTTGTATCTAAGTAGAATTTTGTCAACGCCATAGATTCTTATTGTATTACACATAGCATTCGAGTTGTACGGGCAATTATCAACTGTAAAGACTAGTTAATATTGTGCTGTAATATGAATAACGGAACTTACATACATAGAATTTTCAATTCATTTGATTACTTAAATTAATTACTTTAATTTCATTGTATCTTTTATAAGTTAAATACTTCATTGTTAAATGAAAGTATGCAATGTTCGCAATTCAACTCTAAAAATATGAATCTAAAATAACATTTTCATCAATACCAAAATCTCTACTTGAATACGTAGTGAACGACATAATATATTTTCATATAAAACTGTTCATTATATTGGATTACGTCTTGTAAATTAATTTTCATATTTAAAATACTTCAAAATAATGTTGACGTAGCATTTTTCTCTTCAAAAAGTGAATATATTGGTATAAAAAACAATTCATATAATAAATTTGCTATAAAAAACACCCACAACTAATTAAAATTACTTTTAGTCATATAGGAAAATATTTCAGAGATTGCATACTTTTAGGATGAGACAAAAAAAAAATTAAAAGAGGCACAATATTATAATGGGTTAATTGCATGAATTAAGAAAAATGATTATATTTAAATTAATTTCGACAAGCTTGCAATTTCGGAAATATAAGCTGCCAAAAATATAAATTTTACAAATTACGGGTGTAGATAATTCGAGAGGGGGTGGAGAAGGAAAAAAATTTTGCTCTAACTATTTATTAGTCTCTAAAAGCTACTAAAATTTCAGGTATCTACAGCATGCGGTCTAAAAGTAAAAAAAAATCAAAAATTTTTAGAAAAACGGATTTTAGATAATGGTAAATTTTAGCGGCAATACTTTTCTGTGTTTGCAAAATTTGTACGGACAAACGGACTGAGTGAAACTAATAAACACTTTTTTCAAAAATTTTTGGGAAAAAGTTCTAAAAAAAGACTAAATATGTCAACTCTTTGATGTTCGTACTAATGAAAGAAAGTAAGAATTATATGATAACAGCATCAACACTGCTGAATAAAATCTTTTATTTTTTTTATGTAGTGATTTGGTTATTCACATATTTGAATTTAAGCACTACAGCTTGAAACCGTGTGTCAAAATGTATTAAAACTTTTTGAAAATGTATTGCAACTGCCATACGGGGTGAAAAAACTGTTCAGACTTTAAGAGGAGTCTGTCATCAATAATAATGGTTATATTACAACCACGTTCGTTTATGCTAATTTTCTCTAGCTTTAACTGTTTCGGAGATAAGGCCATATGACGTTTTTAGTAGTATAACAGCCACCTGAACACATTTAATTTACACAGGGTTAAACACTGAATCTTAATATTTATACAGGGTTAAACAACCGACTGATTTTAGCTAGTTCTCCCCGATGATATATTCCGATGATATTTCTAGATGATATATTCCGACATTGATGGTTGAAACAATGAACTATTAAATTTTGCGTGAATATTAAGAATATCAGGAAAATTTATTGGTTTACTTTTTTACTGTATTAATAAGAAATAATGAGGTACCTTATAATATTATTCAGAAATATTTTGTGCAATTTGTTGTATTCTGTTCATATCAGATATTTCTTAAATATCATCTCTGCTATCATAACTAACTCTTCTATCATAACTGACAGAATAGGTATAAATTTTATAATTTAGGTTCAATTTTAAGAAAAGACATGTGTCTTGAATCAGATCTTTATTATTTCAATCCGAACTGCTCACATGTTATTAATATAAAAATTAGATATAATCGAATTCTCAATTTGATATAGAGTAAAAAATTATTTCCGCCTACATCCATAGCTATACTATAACTACTAGTTGACTTTTATGGACTTAATGCAATATTATCCCTCTTGTTTAAGTTATGATCTCATAGTTTTTCTAATATTAGAAATATTTATACCGGAATCACTGACCATTACAAACAAATGTTATAATAGTCGACAAAATGTAGTGGCTTCTATAATCAATTCTAATGTTGTTTTTACTTTTATTAAAGAAATGTTAATTTTGAACTTCAAAATATTGAATTACAAAACTTCACCAGATTTTCATGAATGAAAAATGTATGCGCATATGTTGAATGCTTCTTTAATAACTTCATATAAGAACCATGTATGTATATAAGAAGACCTTTCTTTAAGAGTTTTTTGGTTTTACCTTGTTTTACTTGCAATGTCTCAAAGAGAGAGAAGAAAATTTTTAACAATGTAAGGGATTTGCTTTCATGACTTTTGAAAATGAATTTTTTATGTTTTCATTTTTCGTTATTCAAATGATGATCAAGATAATGATAGTGGTCGTATAATGATGATGATGATGATGGTGGTGGTTGATGATGATGATATATCATATTTCATGCTTAACTTGCAATAATGGAAATTTTTTTTTTCATTTTCCTTTGGTTATTTTCTTAATTTTTTGGGATATTAGAAAAATCTTTTAAGAAAATTATGTTTTCTTAACACTATGATAGAAAAAGATGCGTGTTAACTGTTATTTCTCATTTTCATTTGATATTTCTAAATGAATGCATCTTGAGTTTAATAAAAAAAAAAAATGAAAATTAAATAGGTACATCATTATTTCTTTTTTTGCATGCCAAGAAAGTATATTTGGCTGCATCATATTTTATTGCATTCGTACATGCATGTGAACATAATTTATATATATATATATATATAGATAATTATTGATCGTGACTTTGTTAAATAGTTTTTAAGAAATTGCAACTTTTGTTAAATTTAAAAGGTGAAGGTGGGGAGGGGCAAACATTTAACTTGTGGTTATTTATTTTACTTTTTTGTTAGCCATAGACTTAATTACAAAATATTGAAATTATTAAATTCATTTGAAATTATAAGGTAAATTTAAAGCAATAAAACCAGACAACAATAGTTCAACTTAATTAGTTTTATTTCAATTCTAGATCTCTAATGAGTAAATGTGGAAAAAACAAAGAATTATAATTATAAAAAGGATCAATAATTAAATTAATCAATAAAATAAGTTTATAAAATAATATTGTGAAGAAAACAAATTAAAATCGAAAAAAATCAAAGTGAATTAAGGAATAAAAACCAAAAATAAAATTTAAATTTAAAATTTCAAAAAAAAATTTAGTGAAAATGATTAAATTTTTAAAAAAATATTCAATATTATTAACAATTTTTATCCTGTTAAATAATGGAAATTGCAACGATAGTATTAATTTAAATAATAATAATAATAATAATAATAATAATAATAAGGATAATAATAGTTATAAAAGCGATAGTAACAATTTGGATAATAATGAAAATAACAATGAAAACGGTGATGGTACAACTTTTTCTTTATCATCATCAGCAATATATAATTTATCATGGGATTGTGCAAATAATTCCACATGTATACAAAATATTGCCCGAAACCTAATAAATAATTATGAAAATGGTCAAAGTATTGATTTTGGATTATTTAGTATTGAAAGATTAGCAAAAATGTCAAATAATAACAATAATAATAATGATGATAAAGAAAAGGATACAGAAGGACGTTCATTATCAACAATACAAAAATTTATAGAAGGGAATGCAATTAGAATTCCAATTGGACCAATGGTATTTAGTTTACAACGATCAGATGATGATCCGGATTATATGGAATTAGCTCTTTTGAAAAGAGTTAATGAAAAAGAAGAAGGTTAAAAAAAAAATATTTTTCTTTTTTTTTTTATATATAATGAAAGAGATTTGAAATACGAGTAGTAGTAGATAAATTTTTTTTAATTAGTACTTAAAACTTGCTCTAGATACTCTCAGTGAAAATATTGGAAGCATTCTGCTCTGCTTATTTAATGAAAATCTATATCTTTCCCAAAATTTCAATCATAAGAATTTTTTATTAATTAAAAGCAAAAACTTGGTCAGGTCTATTGAAAACGAAATATAGTCGAATGTAATTTCGGGTTTACAACTGAAATTTCTAAATATTTGAAAATATTAAATTGAAAATTTTCATTATGAAGCATAAGTACGCTTATCCTTATTCTTTATTTAAATTGTTAAGTGAACTATTTAAAGTGGTATTCAAACTCATTGCATAATTTGTTTAATAAACTTTATTATTTTTAGTGAAATGTGTTCCCAGATTTTAAAATTAATCACATGTTTTGTTCCATAAAGTAAAAACATACGATAAAAGCACCAGACAGTTCCTCTCACCGAAAATTAATATTTTCTCTTAATAAATTTCTGAATGTGAAAAATTTTTATTTTCAAAAATAGTACATTATATACAAAAATTACATTAATTCATATATATTTGGAAGAAATTTTTACTTTCAATGAGATTGATCTTTCCCGTATTTCAGACGCTTGAAAACAAATGTGTACTCCTTAAGCATAAAATACTCTACAAATCTTACAATAAATAAATTAAATTTTAAAATTATAACGAAAAATTATATTACAAATATTTAGCTTCGCTTAAAGGACGTGGCCGAGGAGGTATTGGTGGAATTTTCAAAAAGAAACGCGGACATAAAGAAAAGAAACATTTGCAAGTATTTATTCCTATGTATTTAGCAGCAAATACATTCGGATGGACATTATTAGCTGTTAAAGCAGTTGGAGTTTTAACAATAAAAGCCCTTATTGTTTCAAAATTAGCATTTTTAATAGCAACCGGTATTATTGTAAAAAAAATGATGGATTCAGCTCAACAAAAGTAAGAAAAAATAATCTAAGTGAATTTTTTTTTTTTTTCAAATAACTTATATTTTATTATATTTTAAATATTTTACGGATAGAATGTTATTCCCACATCATCATCCGTATTTAATGCCATATAATATGGATTATGGTTTACAAGCTCATTCAATGCCAGGTGCTGAAGAATATTTAAATTTACATTTAGCAAATCATCAAGCTTTAGAGAATATGGCTGCTGCTGAAACAAATCATGTTGTACATGCAATTCAAGGAAATTCAACACAACCACAACTTTTAGCTGTATCAGCTATAAATGGTAATCCAAATACACCAAAAATTAAAAGAAGTGATCAATGGTCTGGTAAGTTTTTATATTAAAAATATTTTCTTTTTTGTTTTCGCAATATTATAACTAATCATGATTTAAATTTAGTTTAAAACACAAAATTACTAAAACTATTATTATGCAGGTGTACATCCTAGCCGACCATCATCTCAAACATTTTATAATTATCTTACAAAAACTCCACCAGCCTCACCATATGTATACCAAAAATAAATTATATAATATCATATTTTACTTAGTCAAGATTTAAATTATTTAAGTAACGCAGTCAAGTAAATTTTCAAAACTCCATGCATAATTTAATTTTTCACATGAATGTTATACGTTGCCCATTATAAATTTAATTTAAAATATTTTTAAATCTAAGTCCAAATACTGTTATTACCTTATATTAGATATGCTTGTTATGTGTATATCTTGTTTGTTATATAGTTTTTTAATTAATTTATTCGTTGATCTTATAATTTAATTAATTTATTGCTTCAGTTTAGATTTAGACTTTTGTAAATCTATAAAATAGTTTATGTACTATTATTCGTTCATAGTTATTTATTGTATTATAAATTATGTAAATTTATTAAAAAAATTTAATATATACATATTGAAATATACTTATAAAATAATAAATTCTATATTTTACTTCAAATGTTCTTAACAAAATTTCAGATCAATTCTCAATAATCTAAATGTAATGTAAGCTAAACATAATGGAAAATCCATTTCTGTAAACGATTCTATATATTTTTAATTAAAAAAGACAAATAATTTCAATTTTCAAATTTAATTGGAAGGGAATCATTCAAACTAACTATAATTGATAAAAAATCCGACCATAACCTCAACATAACAATTTTCTAGTTTGATCTAATGTGATCACGTATTTCATTTTGAATTTTGTACTTCCCATTATGCTTACATGTAAAGTTTCTAACTAAAATATTATAATCTGGAAAAATCTTGTGAGCTAGACCTGTTTCACGCTTCCATCTATTAATTTAAAACAAAGTAAAATACATTGAATAAAAAGATCTATACCTTAATCCTTTGCAACTATGTTTTATATTTAAAAAATTTGAGTTTGCCTTAATTAACGATAGCTGCTATTATTTAAATATTCATAACTTTAATATTAAAAGTAAAAAAATCTCAAAAATTTAAAGCAAAACGTAAATAATTCGAAAAATAATATGTTACTTTTATATTATCACTTAGCTGCACTGTACAAATTTTGGGACCAACATCAGTGTGTTACATGGTGGGTCACAAATCATTTTTGAATAGACCTAACAAGACTACAGACTACAAAGTAGCATATTGAATTTGTAAGCAGGTTTTCCTAGAATTTTTCTACTTGAATTTTTTTGTTTTTACTGTTTGTTTTTACTAATGAATAATGAAAGCATTTTGACTTTAGAAAAATTGAGGGAATTCTTCAGCCAATTCAATAATCTACGTTGAAAAAAATGTTTAAGTTGTTTTTGAATAAATTCGCTTTTTTTATTTTCTAGCTCTATTGGGTGATTGTTTAAAATCTATACTAAAAGTGTTTTACAAATTATCAGTAAAATAATTTAATGTTTTTCTTTGCCAAAATTGGATTTTCCTTTGGTGAAATATATTCCAAAAAAATAACACAAAAATTATCATTGAATCACAAATAATTAATAGAAAAAAATTTACAATTTTAATTACGTTTACAAGGCCGAGTATTCTTTTTATAATTTGAATTAATTGAAATACTAATTAAAAAACTAATTTTTTAATATTTGAGGTAAAATTGGGGAAACTTCTGGATTTAAAGAACTGCAGAGAAGAAATTTGTGTTTGAGTAGAAATTTTGTATAACATCCATTTAGTTAGTACTTAAAGAAATTCGTGGAGGTAAATGTAAAAAACAAAATAAACCCAAAAATAAAATAAACGCTTTCAATTGCAATTTTCGTTAAGAAATTCCAACATGAAAGCCAAATTAAAATTTTATTGGTAAATTTGAAAACGTTACCCTTATCACAATTCTACTTTCTAAATTTCTCTTATCGTCGATTAAAAGGCAGAAAGCACTAAGTGCATTTTTTGGAATTTGAAAATTCGGATTTCATAGATGAATTAAATCAGAATAATGTAATCTTTGTTGTGGCAAAAAATCATGCAAATCCAGAATATAGTTTATAAATCCAGAAATTAAAGAGACCAATCCCATTGCACTAATTGATTAGTTTTACAATTTTACGATCTTTTCAAATCGAATTTACTCAAAACACAGTTTCCTGACTTAATGCTTTCTGCTTCTTAACCGACGTTATTTCAAATAAATTTCATGATAACTTGATTGTAAATGAAAATTGACAATTTGTTAAATAATAGATCAAAAAATCAATTTAGAATATTCTGAATAATTGTATAAATTTCCCGAACTATAACTTATGTCTTTCAAATAGCTTTCTTAATAGTTGCGATCATTCAAAATTATATTGTATTCGTTATTTTATATTAATTAAAGGCAGATACATTTATTTCAATTATTGATAAAATGAGCTATGGCTTCTTAATACAATATATGAAGAAACTGTGTTTGTACACAAACTTGTGATAAAATTTTGTACGTGTATTGCCAACATTTCCTATCACCTAAGTTTGATACTAAGTTGGATACTATTGACTAAATATAGAATATCTCAAATGATTATTATGATTTATTTTTACCAACTTGCCATCACATTATCTATTGCATTGCATACAATAAAATAGATAATGTGATGGCACCAAATTTCGAATGTAGATTTTCCAGTGGGTATGCACTTCTCCATAGTAGGAATTGTAAATAAACTAATTTTTAGAAAGATGTCGGTCTGTGTAACTGTCTATCTGCCGGTTTTTCTGTGCACACGTGTAACTGAAATTCGGCTGAACCAATTTTTGTGAAATTTTATCGTGTGTTAAATATAGGCTATGTCACAAAAACTGGGTTTTTAAACCTTTTTTTTTAAACATTTTTGGTCATTTACACTGCATAACTGGACGTTTACTACGGACGTTTACCAAACATACATTTTTTCGCATATAAAGCGGCAACAAATTTTAAACATCAATTAAGGTGTGAAAAAAATGAGCTTATAAAATATTTGAAAATGTTGGAAACTGAACTAGAGGCTGATTTTATATTTTTTACCATATAAGGAACTAACTGACGAAATTTGTTCAAGTTTAATATTTGAGTTCAGTTTGCTACCGGAATTTACTGGCATTTCAGAGAGTTCGGGCAGCATTACTAGTGCCCTTAAATTTTGCAAGAAGTATTTAAAAGACAATTCCATAATCTTATACGCAAAATTTTCCACCTCGCGGTCGGTTATGAACTGACCACATCAATACATAAAATATAAATGGAATATATGGAAATGTAGATATGGAAAATATAAAGTAGAAACAAAATATTAAAAAAGAAATTCTATTTCAACGAAATTTAACATTTTATTGCTCTAAGATATTTGTGCCAGTAATAATGTATGTATAAATTCATACATGTTTTTCTGTTATTTTCTATTTATTTTTTACTACAAGAAAATGAAAATGAATATGAATAAATTGCAAAAAAAAAAACTACTTACATGAAAAATTTTTAAAACCTACAATTATTCTAATATTTCACCCAATCATCATAATTATTATACTGAAAGTTTTTGTATTGATATACAGTAGTAAGTAAAATCTTAATAAAGAAAAATAATTGAAAATTGCAATGATTTCTTTAATCATTTAATTATATTTTTTATTGATATTAAATTTTAAAAATATTATTATTGTATTTGTGTAATTTTACTCAAATACTTGAGTATTTTGAGAATGAACATTGAATACAATAAATTAAAAATATTGTTTACGTGAAAATTATTATCATGGAAAATTTTGTGTTGCACTACATGGTATGATATCATACTGTATGTGTTGGTTCTGATTTTAAACATTTATTAAACATAATAATGTTGTGATAAGATTAAATGCTTCAATTATTATTATACCACTATCGTACATGTTTTTTTTTCTAATTTTTAATAAAATAATGAAAGGCTTGATAGTAAATCTCAATTTTCTTAAGGTGTTATACTCGTATACATTATATGTATATACATATATGAATGCATTTTCTTAGAGTATTTTCTTCTTTTAATATTATTATGCTTGTGGTAAATCAATTTTCTATTATTTTTTTGTTGTTTTAATTTTTAATAGTTACATATTACATATGATAATCTCATATTTCATGATCGACATTGAAATTAAAAAGAAAATTTATATAAAATACAATCAAGAAATTTTTAAATTCAATCAAGAAAAGCTAAGCGTTTATAAGTGAGGTGCGTGATATCGTTTTGCTACTTATATATGAAAAAAAAAAAATATAGTGAAAAATTCAAAGATTTTTCTATTTTATCTGGAAAATGGAAAATTTAATATGTGTTTTTATATTAAATCAATAAATGTATAATTTTTATGTATATTCATATAATATAGATCTAAGTAATTGTTATAAAGAAAAAAAAATCATGTTAAAAAACTATTATTTTACATTGTTTGTTCGAAAACAAGCAAAGTGGGGGTTTTATCACGTACATACATTATTATTAATTTATACATATATGTTTGAATATTAATTTTTTCTAATAAAATGTTCATATATATGGGTAAATTTAAAACAATAAAACCAAGCGTTAACAGTTTAAGATAATTAGTTGTATACGAATTTTACATGTCTAATGATTGAAAGCAATAAGTTTAACATTTCTATTGTTAATCAAACAGAAAAAAAAAAACAAAACAAACATAGTCATTTAAATTATAATTAATTATTTTAATATTTAAAACAAAAACATATGCACTCAATACAAATATTTATTAAAGAGAAAAACAATATCTAAAGGATATTTATAAGGATAAAAAGAAAATTACAAAAAAAAAAAAAACAAATAACAAAAAAATGTTTAAATATTATAAAAAATATTTATTTTCCATTATTTTAAATACAATATTAATAAATCAAATCCTTTCAAAGGAAATTAAAATGAATTTAAATAAAAATAGTGTACAATATGAAAACATTGATAAATACAAATTGCATAAATATTTTAATAATAATAACAATAACAATAATTATAACAATAATAATCATTTTAATGATATTAATAAAAGTGAAATAGAACAATCATCAATAATATCTTCATCTTCATCATCATCATCATCATTTTCACAATCATCATCTTCATCATCATCACAACCATCATCATCAACAACGGATATAAAAAATATATCATGGGATTGTGCAAATAATTCAAGTTGTATACAATCAATTGCAAAAAATATATTAAAGGATTATGAAAATGGTGAAAATATTAATTTTGAATTATTTAGTATTGAAAAATTACCAAAAATTCATGAACAAAATCATAATAGTGCCAACAATAATAATTTATTTAATGGTAATAATTATAATAATAATAATAATAATAATAATAATAATGATAAAGATAAAAATATAAATAATGATAATGAAGGACGTTCAATATCAACACTTGTTGAATTTTTTAAACAAAATTCTATTCGTATACCAATTGGTCCAATGGTATTAAATGTTAAAAGATCTGATGATGATTCTGATTATATGGAAATAAATTTATTGGGAAAAAATATTATGAATCAAACAACACAAGGTTAGTTAGTCGAATTTCAAATAAAAATTCTATACTATTGATTAATGCTTGTACATGATTTATATACATATATACATAAATTTACTAGATATACATATTTATGCTATTACTGATTTATTTTTTGATTATAATATTTTTTTATTTTCTTTACATATCATTAAATATTTAATTCTAAAATACATAATATTATTTAAGAAATCGCTATCAATACTGACACTGAAAAACACTCGGATACTTAAAACACTTATAATTAATTTAATATTATGTTATACTTTATTGAATTAAAATGGCAAAAAATTTATTTTTTTTCTTCTAAATTTCAGCTAATTATAACATCCGAATTAATTTACGAAAAAGAGTTATGGTTATGGTTAAGATCAAAATTAAAAGTTCAGTTAACAAAATAATATTGTTTTATTTATTAAGCTTTAATTTTTCTAACTGTTGATCTAATTGATGTGTACATATAGGTGGACATTAATTTTTAAAATTATTAATAAATTTACAAGAAGCATTTAGAAAAATCCGTAATTCTTCCTATTAATCATAACGCTAACTATTAAATTCTTAATAATTTCTAAACAGTAAACACAATTAATTTAATTTAAATTTGATATTAATTTTTATATCTAAATTCATAATGCACTAAAATTTAAATAATTATTAAGGCGGCTCAGGATCTATTTTATGCACATAATATAATATAATGTATATTAAATTTACGGGAGTAATATTGTGCCTATGCTAACATATGTATATATGCTATTAATGTTTATTGTATATAGTTAAAGACATAAAAACATGAAACGATTATCTATCATAAAAAGTTAAATAGGAAATATATTAATAACTCAAGTGTAATTATAGGTTTTATTCCATTTGTTCGTGAGGGTACGGTTGTAATATATTCGATAGAAGTACATTGCGTAAGTTGCAATACATGAAATGAGTCTTATAAAATTTTTGGAATAAATTTTTTATTGATATTTAAGAAAGATATTCCTTAACCCTTTTCGGGTCGTCTTTCGAATAGTGTAATTAGTAGATGTTTCTCATGTGGGATCTATTAGCTTTATATAAATCATGTAATCATGTAATCTCTTTATATGAATCTTGTAAAAACGAAATAGTACAACAGGACTTTACTGGTACACATATGTACCAGCTGAGTGGAAAGGGTTAAGAAACGTGTTGGATCATATGTGGAAGAAATACGTTTTTTTTGTATATTTTTATATAGAAAACTTTAAAGTCATTTAAAGTTCGAGAAAATATCCAATACTTTTATGTTACTTGTTACAATTTAATAAGTTTAAGGACATGAATGCCATAGCGTACAAATCTTTGCAAATATCAAATTTTAAATCGTGAGGTTAATGCTAATTTAAAGATATTGACTTTTAAAGATATAAAATTTAGCAATAACAAAAAATTTATCATGAAGATATCAAGTTTTAGCATTATCATTTTCAGATATTTAAGATAAACTTAGATATTGGTTGCAGATGAAAGACCATTCAATTTTATGACGCCTAGGTTAATTATCTAAAGATATAAAATTTTCGAATTATCTAGTTGTAGCATTAACCACATGAAATATGATGTGAATTCCATAGCATTCGCGGATATACGTAGGTATTTCTACTATACTAATAAAAATCTAAAGAAGACATCTTCTATTTTGTAGCAAATTAGAATCTGTTACGTTTATTTTAGCTATAGAACAAAAAATATTTCTACATAGGAAAAGTATATTGCAATTATTTTTTTAATGTTCTTTAACATGTTTATATTTTTCCGCCACAATATAATAAAAATTCACAATTAATACAATTGAAAAATGATTTTCAATATTTTTTTTAAACTATATGTTGTGCGTAATTTGTTAAACTTAAATGGTATAATTCATATATCAAAAATTTTTAAACTAAATATTTAAAAGTATTTAGTACATTGTGAAAAATGTAATAACACATATTAAACACATTCAATAATTCCAACAAAAATATGTTTTTCTAATAGATTCTTAGAATAAAGTTATGTAGTAGGAAAGCTAAATTTTGTCTTGTAGCTACAAGCAGCTCCAGCATCTTGCTAACAAGAGCCAAGCCATAAAGATTGAAAAAATATTATTATTAACCCTTAAATAAATGGTTTTCTAAAGTTTGAGTCCTGTTTTCCATTTTTAATCAGAACCATTTTAATCAGTTTCAATAAAATTTTTATTAAACAAAATTCAACAATATTCATCCATTAAGAATTCTGTTTAAACTTTAAAATTTAATCACGCCCTGGCATCTACATCATCAAGTAAAAAATAATGATTTTTTTATATAGCAAGTGGTAGTGCTCTTCTTTTTATCAAAGTGATAAATTAATATTTTATAAAACTTTAAAATTTGCATGTTTGAGAATTACGAAATTTTGAATTCTTAACTTTTGGCTATTAAATAGAAAGCATGATTTTTTATTTAATCGGGTTCATTATTGAACCTGATTATTGAATTTCATAAATTGAAATTTTCTTTAATTGTTTTCAATGAATTGGATCAATTTCTTGTATGAAAATTTATTTCATCGAGTATTGTACGGGTAATATTCAGAAAGCAGCCTGCATAATCGTCATGTTTGCAGATTCATATAGTTGGTGAAGAACCATGAATCATTTTTTAATATACAAGTAAAACGAAAAGTCCTTACTTTAGGCGCACTATTATTTGAAAAATTAAAGGTTTAGGAAAATAAAATATTTGTGGTTGTATGAAAATTTAAAGAAGGAAATATTTAAGAAGGCGTAAAATTTAAGAAATTGAAAACAAAAATATTTTAACAGAAAATCTCAATAAAATAATTTAGTTGACCAGGTTAAATAACATTTTATGAATTTTTTTCCAAAAATACTTAAATGATAATAAAATCAAAAGTGAGGAATGATGTAACGAAAAATGTTTAAAAAAATATTGTATATTAGTTGTAAAAATTTAAAATCCATAAATATTTCTTATAATACAAGATTTTAAGTTAACTAGTCTCATATCAATTAAAAAAATCTTAATTATCTATTAAATTAATTAATTAAATTTATTTTTTATATATAGACAAAGGTGTTGGACGACGACATAAAGTTATAAATCGTAGAGGTAAAAAACATCTTCAAATCATAATACCAATGTATTTGGCTGCCAATTCATTTGGATGGACATTGCTTGCGATCAAAGCTGTTACATTATTAGCTATCAAAGCAGTTTTAGTCTCTAAATTGGCATTCTTAGTTGCATCATCGATTGTTATAAAAAATTTCATGGATAATTCACATAAGTATGCACTAGCATTAGCAACACTCAAACAATAAAAATGCAAGACAAGAACAAAAAAAAAAGAAGAAAAAAATTTCTTTTTCAAAATAATTGTAAAAAATTTTGCTGCTTGTTTTTATGTTTCTTTCAATTGTACCACTGTTTCATATACACATATACACATTTATTTATTTATTTTATTTTATTTCAATTGTTATTTATGTAATTTACTTTATAATATTTGCATATTGACATATAAATATTTTTGTAGAGAGATATTAATAATTTTATATATAAATTAAAAATAAAATGAAAATTTTCTTATATATATACATATTATTTAGAGTGATGTATCCACAACATTTCCCTTCACCCTTAAATTCATATAGTATGATGGATTATGGATTACATACAGCAGCACAATCAATACCCGATGCTGTTGAAGAACAATATCATTCTCGAATTATTGATAATTCTCATCAAATAGCATTAGCACCACAACAACATATTTTAGCTCATGCAAATGTTGTTCCACAACAACAGCAACAACAACAAGTACAACACCAGCAACCAACAGCTGCTGGAACTAGTCATCATCATGTTGTTTATGCAATACAGGCAAATCCAGCATCAATTGCGGGTGGTGCTGCTGCTATTGTAAATGGTCCACATATAAAAAGAAATGATCAATGGACTGGTAAGAAGGCTTGAGCGTTTTGTTTTATTTTTTTTTTATTCGCAATTATAGTTAAAATTTGTGATAGTTTTTCGATAATTTCATACTTTCGTCTTGATTTTCTTTTCATTTCTTAAAAGAATATAATTTTAGAAAACTATACTTAGACAATGCAAACCCATTTCTTCCATTATCTTTTAAATACTTTGAAGCTGCTCTTTTTTTCTCAATATGATAATTTTTGAAAATTGCTATGGAGCAATTAGAAAATCAAATATTAATAGAAGGATTAAATAGTACATTATAATATTCGTAATTATTTTGAGAAAATTGAATTCATAAGATGAAATAAACTTTGAAATGAAAACTGCTTTTATTTTTTTCTTGTTTTTTGTCTATAAATTTTTGTATTATAGGTTTTATTCAGGAATTAAATCTAGGTATATTTACTTACCAAGTTATACAAATTTAAATAAATCTTCTCTTATCAAATGAAAATTTTTATAGAATAACAAAGTAGTTTCAATATTCTTTATCGGGAACTATGAAAAATAAAAAGAGCCCTTTGAATTTCAAAATATTTTAAAAATTGTCTTTTACCAGCACGAAATCATAGGATACAACAAATCCTGATTTTAAAAAAATGCAAATAAATAATTTTTTTCTCGAAAAATATTAGATTTATTAATTCGAATCTTAAATAAATCTTATTTATAAAATATAATACAGTATTTTAATTAAAGGATTATTGTTTTTTTAGGAGTTCGTCGTCCAGCTATTATTAATTCTGTATCAGTTAAGGATATAAAGGATACTAAAACAAAATAACTTTCCTGCATCTTATATACATACTTGTATTCTAAGTAAAACACCTTAAAAAACATATTTATATATTATTTAATTTATTTATTAATTTATTTATTATTATTATTAATGATAATTTTATGTAAAATTAATTTATTTAGAAAATAATTATTAATTAAGACTGTTGTAATCTGAAATAAAAAAAAATGTATTTAATTAAAAATAAAAAAAAAACTCTTTTCAAAACAAGTATTTTTATTTCTGTTTTTGTTTTGTCTTCTTTTCTGCTTTTTTAATTAATAAAAATTATATTTATTAAATTCACGCAATACATAGATTAATTATAATAATATTGACTTTTTAAATTTCTAAAATATAGAAATTTAATATTTAAAAACAATAAAAAAAAAATTAATACAATTTTCTTAACAAAATATACGTTTTGTGTACATTATATAAGTATAACAATATAAAATACAATAATAAAATGTATAACAAATTTTATAACAGCTTTTCACCTCTCTCAACTTTCTTTTTATATAATATTTTTATCTCTTTTTAATCACAAGAAAATTATTGCAAATTGTGAGTAAAATCGATATAAAAATTATGAAAAAAATCTCGCATTATTATAAAAACAAATTGGTAGTAAAATAAATAAATATTTTAACATTAATTTTAACATGATTAAATTATTCAATGAAAATAATACATTAAAATAGAAAAAAAAAGTTCAATTAAAATAACTGTTAGTCACAAAATTAATCAACCACCATTAAATAATAAAATTGAAGAAAGAATAAAAAAAATACGAAATAACATAACATTAACATATTACAGAATAAAATGTACAGACTATTAATGAGATCGGTTAGTAACAAGAAGAACATGCACCCTAACAGAAATTCAGAATAGTGTTACAAAAAATAATATAAAATAAAACAAAATCAGTCGGCTTAAGTCGGCTTGATTTAATAACAATATTACAATATTACAAATTGTATTCAAATAATTATTATGCGATGTGCTTAGTGCAATCGATGTTATGACGATAGTATGTAACATAATACTTCTTACAAAAACAAAATTAATTTTCCCAATATGAATATGCATACTGCCATGCTAGTAAAGAGTAATAATAATAATAATAATATGAGAAAGAAAATCTCTATTGATAAGTCTTAAAGATAATAATTAAAATTGATAGCCAATAAGTACATGAGAATAAAGAGATTAAATAAATAAAATTTGTATATAAAATTGTGTTAGGTAAGAATATATAAACAAATAAATTATTTTAAATTAATTAATAAATAAATAAATAATTTAGAATATAATTTGTGTTTGTTTGCATAATATTAAATAAATTTGAGTATTGAATAAAATTACAAAAAAAAAAAAATATTTAAACCATCTTGATTTATATAACATTTATACTATACGTACTCGTATAACTGTAATCAAATATCAAAGTAATATAAAACAAAAAATTACTATAAATTAAAATTTTCTAAAAATAGAAAAATTCATAATAAATATCAAGAAAAATATAACAATAAATAAAACTGAAATTAAAAATTATATTAAAATTAAATCAAATAAATAAAAAAAAAAAATATGTTTTGGTAAAAAATATAAAATAATTATAAATAAAATATGTATAACATTTCTTTCAATTTCTTCTATCTATAAATATATTATTATATTTTGTGTTTTATAACAGTAAAAACTAAAAATTATTTTCAGGCTTTTGTCCACTATACGCCATCTCATGTGAATCAAGAATTTTTGCTGGTAATTCAGCTACACCATCTAAAAATCCATCTAATGCTCTACCCCAACCAGTACTATATGTATCATGATGTGGTTCATGATGATGTGGATGTGCTACAACTTCATATGTAACATGTTTTTTACTTAATAATTTTTTTAAACCAATAATTACAGCTAATATTAGAGCTAATTTTGATACAATTAATGCTTTACCAGTTAATAACATTAAACCTTTTAAAAATAATGCTGTTACCATTCCCATTTTTGCCATCATCATTGCCATTATTGGCATATAATTTTTCATTTTACCACGTCCCTCTTCAACAGCTCCAATTGGACTTATTGATAAACCAAGATGAAGATTTCCTTTTGGTTCTGTTGTTACAATTAAATCAGCATTATCAGCTACATGATAACGTAATTCCCGGCTTCGAATAAATCGCCATATTTTTTCTCCAATAATTATACCTAAAGCTTCATTATCACTATTTTCCATTGATCTAGCAAGCATTTCATCATCTTCATTATCATTATCATCAGAAATTGTTGGCTCTCTAAGAAATATTTTAAAAACAAAACGTAAATTAATAGCTAAATTTTTTAAAAGAATCTTTTAAGTAAGATATTTTATAATAGTGGGGCGAGATTTTTTCAAATGAACCACAACTTCATAGTAAATGTTTTGGAATATTTGTAAATTTTTTTGGTCTTAGTCATATTTTCTTTTTGATTTTCGCAAAAATAATTATTTATAAAATTTCCATATTAAATTTACAAATTTTTTTGTATTAAATTTCATTCTAATTTACCTGGTTTGAGTAACTTTAAGATTTTCATTGATATCAATTGAAGATTTCTTAAATATTCTATTCATGTATACAATGAGTTTAAGCATCATACATGAATGATTATCCCGCTGACTGCATTTCACGTTCAGTTTACGTATAAAACCTTCTTCCAATTGGCGCCGATTAACAGTATGAACCTTGAATAAAATTAAAAGAACATGCATTATTATTTCCATTAATCTATTTGGCAAAAAAAACTAAATTAATAAAACTGTTGTAATTTAAAGTTCATTTTTAATATTCTTGGTGCCTTTGGGCATCTAATTTCATTGTGCAGTAGAAAACATTATGCGTATTCAATATATTTACGTACATGACTAATAACACAATTTAAATTATGCTTGCAAAATTCCAATTTTAATTTTGTTCAAATTATCCATTTTATTTAGAAATCCTCTTCATTTATTTTTTTATTATTAGATATTCTTTTATCTAATTTGCATACACATACTTCAATATATGGAAATTTCAATATATGTCTTGTTATATAAAGAAATAAAATAACAAAGGAATACTTCTAAATCAAAAAATATCCTTGTGGGCAGCAAAAACAGCATGCATATTGCTAGAATTATAATCCGATGTTAAAAACAAAATTCATTTTCTTTATAAAATCAGATTGAAAATTACATTCAAATATAGTATAAAAAGGATTTGAAAGCAAAATACAAACATAATAAAATTAGTAAAACAGTATATTAACTATATTAAAAAACAAGTTGACGAGCTATAATACCCCATGCATCTTACGTATATAGTGCATCTTAATCATAGAAAATTTTTGTTTCAATTAGTGAATCATTCACAACTTGATTAGAACCTAACGCGATTTGCTTCAAACTTATTAGTCTCGTCATAATAACGGAAAGAACTGCATTACATCGACGTTTCAAGTTTCTATAAATTTGGTTAGTTCAAAAACATTTTTGTTTCATATGAGCTTCGTATATTTTAGAAAATAATTGTTTAAATTTTTGTAAAATTCTATTCAATACCACATAAATTTTTAATGACAATCTTCACTTTTTGTATAAATTTTTTGACTAACATTCCTAATTTAATTCCGAAGAAAAAAAATTTCATTCCGAAAAAGAGAATAAATTATAATAAATCCAATTTTAACACATAAAATTGCAATTAGAAATATACATAATATCTATAGAGCCAAAATAACTATGACAAGCAGTGTAATAGTAGGGTTAAAGGTATTTTTTTAAATTAAATTTACCTTTATAAATAATAATAACGGTATCCAGTTACAGACTGAAACTCTAATTTATAGGACTAATGAATTGATTCAAGTACAACATGCAGTAAAAATTACGTAATTGATACTATTATTCTCTGATACCTCTGTATAGATAATATAACTACACATTTTTAATTAAAAAAAAAACGAGAAAAAATAGAGTTGAACTTGTCAACTCTGTGATACCCATACGAATTTCCTATGTGCGAATAAATATGCCATAACTGACCATGGGACAGACTATAACTTAACATATTAATTTATGCAAAATTTCAGTACTGTGTTCTTCAAAAAAATGCGTGTGCCAAACTACTATTGAAGTTGTATGGCAGCTAACAGAAAGAGCCAAGAAATTTTGACAAATTTTATCAAGCCTATCGGCTCTACTAATATATTTGCTTGTACTTTCAATACCATAGCCTTAATAGTTTCTGAGATATAGCCAAATAAATTTTGAAGTTGAATGGCAGCTACCCGAACCGGTACTCCCATCATGTCCAATTGAAATAGAGTTCTAGCACTTACTACAATAAATCATTTGTGAAAATTTGGTGAAGTTAGTTAAATTAGTTTTTGAGTTATCGTTGGGACGGACGGACGGACGAAGAGACGGACAGACAAAGCTAAATCAACTCAGAATTCGACGCTGATCAAAAACATACACTTGAGTCTATATCTAAGACCGATATTTCTTAGCGTTACGGTAAGGCAAATTTAGTATGCCCTTGGAACATACGTTCGTACGGGTATATTTAGGTTATTAATACACTTAACTAACTTTTATTTGAACTTTGCCAACTAAAAATCACTAACAAAACATGAAATTTTTAAAACCACAACTGAACAACTGATTTGGTTTGTATATTTAATTTTTTTTGTTTTTGGGACAAAAACAAAATGTTGGGTAACTCTATCTAACTATATACATAATAAATGTACATGTTGAATTTTAAATTTTCAGAGATGTGGTAAAAAGTACTTGTGCAGTTTTTGTTAAATTCATGCGTCTATATGTGGAGTGAATTATGTGAAATTTTTTTTATTCATCGTTTTCATAGAAATTTTTTCAATTAGATTACATCCAACAGAATATCGCATAAATTTAAATTACTCAAAAGGATTAAAAATTCAATTTTTGGAAAATTTATTGGAAATTTTTTATTACATACAATTTGTTGGTCTATTTACAAATGCATAGTATATAAAATTTAGAAATTTTGTTCACTTATTCCAATATCAAATTAAAAATTTTACACATTTTCTTTACATATACATAATTCTATGGTATATACTTAATATCTTCATATACACAACAAAAATGTAAAAGGATTTCTTGAAAATTTATTAATATATTTAGAACTTTATCATGTACAAAAGAAATTTATCTATTGTGTGTATATTTTTATTAAAAAACGAGAATAGGTAGAGTTGGGTGTGCTATCTCTGTGTCAACTCTGTGACACCTGTACGAATGAATGATTCTAAGAGCTATGTGTTGCCATTCTGTTCTACATGATTCGGGTTTTTTATTCGTTTATGCAAAATTTCGCTATCTCAGCTTCAACTATATCTAAGTTATGACCAAGTAATTTTTAAAGTTGTATGGCAACTACCACAAGAAATTTCAACGATTTTTATAACATGTAGCAGTTCCAATAATAATAAATTATTTGGTTGCGCGAAAATTTGATATTATAGTTTCTAATATTTTATTAGATATAACCAAATAACTTTAGAAGTTGTTTGGATAACTTTAGAACCATCACATCCAATTTAAATAGAATTCTGGCATTTGCTATTATAAATCATTTGTGAAAATTTGGTGAGTTTAGGTCAATTAGTTTTTGAGTTTTAACGAACGGACTGACAGACATGTTTGAATCGATTCAGAATTCGACGCTAATCAAAAATATACACTTATGTCTATATCTCAAATTTACCCATTATTTCTTAACGTTACAAACGGTAAGGAAAATTTAGTATACGCTACGAACATACATTCGTGCAGGTATAATGAGAATTTACAAAACTATAATAAACTGAAGAGATTTGTGGAAGCTCACTTATATTATTTTTCTTTTTTTTTTTAAAGATTTCAATACAGAAAATATTTGCTTTTTCTGTCATGATAAGGATTTCCAAGTACAAACTAATTATGTAAAACATTGCAATCTGTAATTGAAAATTAATGAAAAACTGCAATAACTTAAAAATAAATCCTTAAGGGGATACTTGCACCTTGCAGTTGGTATTATGAAAGAATTTAATTTTAAGTATAATTTTTGACATACTCAATCCCAAAATGTTGGAAAAATTTAATGATAAATAGATTTTTACTTTGATATTTTATTTTTCTATTAAAAAATTCTTGGTCATAATTCAAAAATCATATTAAAAGTTAATTAGAAAACTATTTTTAAAGACAATGTCATATAAGTAAGTGCATTTCAAGGATAATTTATTTTATTATTAAATTTTACTAATTATAAAAAATAATAAGGACTAAATGCTTAAGTTCCGTATTTAGTAATATTATGAACACAATTATTTTAGTTAACTAACAAGGATATGTGAAAAACCAGAACCAGAAACCTTGTTGCGAAAATTTCGAAAAAGATCATTTTGAAAATCTTCTTTATGGTACGATGGTTTTAAATTGTTTCATGTAGATAATTGAAAAAGCTTTTATTTCTTTTGAAGAGAAACCTTTTAACATGTAACAAGTTTTTGAAAATTAATTAATTAAATGAAAGCGTATTTGATCACATTATTTATGTGCGTAAATTTTTTTTAATAAAAATAATTTGAAAACATAATTAAAATTTTTGGTATTTTGCATTATCAAAGAAATTTTAATTACGTATACTTATACGAGTATACATTGACGGCCAGCAAAATTAGGCACCCTGAATTTAAACAAAAAAAAAATAAATAAAATTTAGGTTTACTTCGCTTAATTGCAGCGAAAATAATAATATTTCAACGAGTTGCAGTTTCATCTTTGTTAGCATTCTTTCTTAGAGAACTGTGCTTTATTCTTACAACAAACAAGAAGACCAACTCTTTAAAAAATAATCCGTCTTTAAAAATAAAAAATGCTGTACTTGTGCTTTAGAAATTATTAAAATAAAACTACTTTTGCACACTATCTTATTTAACTGTTCATAATATAAAACTTATGAATATAAAAACTAAATTGCTTCAGAGGTGAAATGGTTATATACCAAAATGGCTATACATACAAAAACAAAAAGATGAACAAATAATGTTGTAATCACTCGCACAAAGCTATCTGGATTTAGAGAAACTAAATGGTTTCAAGTCATTTAAAATCTCGTTAAAATTTATTTTTTGTATAAATAACCCAAAATTGAAAAGTTAATGTCACCTACATAAAAATTAATACATAAAAATCAACATTTTTTTAAAGAAAATTATTTGAATGTTTTTTAGACTTCCATGGTATTCATTTTTCCGTCTTGGTTTTATCTAAGAAATAAATATAAATCTCAATATAATTTCCGGATAATTAAAACAAATCGGGTTCGTCTTTTCGTTTACTTAAAATTTTCTTAAAATTTTTTTCCGAGTACTTACATATGAACATTAATTTCATTTCCTGTTTCTTTTAATTTTAGAATTTTTTTTTCATAAGAAAAATTTTATTCTTTGATTATTTCAAAAACAATGTATAGCTTATTGAGAATAAGCTATACAATGGAATAAAATTAAAATTTCGTTCAAATAATTTGACATATTATTTTTTTTGTATTTCTCGATCTGAAGCCCGTTGTATTGATGAAAATATGAAAAGAAATACGATAAATAAAAAAATAATCTCATACACAAAAATCGATGTAAGCTATAAAGGATTTGTTTTTTTGATAATAATTAATTTTTTATTTATACTTTCTGGGATTCCTTCCAAAAAATGTTTTATAATAATTATACACTATAGAAGAGTATTTATCATATGTTAATTAAATTTTTTTTTAATTAACTGAAACCTTTCAATCTTTGCAATTGTATAAAAGTTAATATTAATTACGTTATGATCCTTTGCACATGAAAATTCCTAAGGAATTTCATAGGGAAAGCATTATTTTGTGAATATTCTGGATAAATTTTTCATTTATTACTTTTGTATTATAAAATATTTATGTATGCAACAAATAAATTGATAAAAGTATATTGTTTTGTGTAATCGAACGCAATTCATACCACAAGAGTTACAAATTATTAAAATGCTTGCATAAATTTAGGATGCTATCATTTAGAAAATATTTTTTAACGATTCTTATTTATTTTATGTAGGAATTGGTTTTCCATCGTATGTATGTCGTTATTATATGAGATGCATGTCGCATATGTTGTACCTAAAATAATTATAAAATATTTAAATATTATAAGCTTGAGTGCAATATTACAGTAATACTGTAATACTATAAAAATAAACTAAATATTGTGTATTAATCAAATTTCGCTTCAGGGTATAAACGGCAATGATGGTTGAA